AGAGAGAGAGAGAGAGAGAGAGGGAGAGCACAAGCAGAGGGAGTGGCAGGCAGAGGGAGAGAGAGAAGCAGGCTCCCCACCGAGCAAGGAGCCAGATGCGGGACTCCATCCCAGGACCCCGAGATCATGACCTGAGCTGAAGGCAGATGCTTAACCAACTGAGCCACCCAGGTGCCCTGAGATGAGTTGTGTCTTTACTTAGAATTCCCTTAAGCCATTTTCCTGGTTTTCTCTAAACAATTTTAGTATGCACAACAATTTCCTGGGACACCTGTTAACAATGCAAATGCCTGTGCAGGATCCCCAAAAGTTTTGATTCTACCTGTCTGAGGCCTAAGAATCTACATTCTAAACAAACACTCCCGCTGAATCTGGTGAATATTGTTCCTGGGTAGGTGATTTAAATCAGGATACTCGAGAGTAAAAGAGGATGCTATTAAATCACATTAGGACAAGATAAATAATCTGAGAATATCCTAATAGGTGTACTTGGACAAATGATCACTGTACCTGGGGCATATTTTTTAAAAATAGAGGTTTAAAGTTTAATTGGAAAGTTCCTGCTATTTCCTTTCGTGACCAAACTTAGCTGGATTTCCTTTAGTCTTCTCAGGATGGTGGCTGTTTCCACTCTTTTATGACTCAACCTCAACTATAGTGTGTATACAACTTTCTAATAAAGGAAGATGGAATTCAGGGCTTCTAAACATAGCTAGGAGTAACTTGAGGGGAGTTAGGACCCACTCCTTTAAAGTTGAAGATTCTTTTCTTCTGATTTGAATGAAACTGATTTTATTTGCCCTTAGCTAAAAACTTAGGACTCTTCTGGAACTTTCTGTAATGCATGTTGTCTCAAGCCAATTTTAATTCCTTTTAGTGTTCCTGGCTCAGCTGTGTCCCATTTCTCTTAGCTGGGCATAATCCCCTTGATCCATTTCAACCTTGCTTTTGTTTTCATTTAACTAAGTGACTTGTTTATTATTTAAGTAAATTGCAACTGAAGAATTTGAGAGAAAGAAAAAATACCTTTCTAAATTTCTTTCTCAAGAGTTCTTTTTTTTTTTAATTAAAAAAAAATTTTTTTTTTAAGATTTTATTTATTTGCAAGAGAGAGAATGAGAGACAGAGAGCATGAGAGGGAGGAGCAGACTCCCTGCTGAGCAGGGAGCCCTATGTGGGACTCGATCCCGGGACTCCAGGATCATGACCTGAGCCGAAGGCAGTCGCTTAACCGACTGAGCCACCCAGGCGCCCTTTCTCAAGAGTTCTTTAGGTTGTTGTCACCTCTTCTTACATAACTTATATAGAAAAAATGGTTTTCCTGTTTTGTAAACTGTTACCTGATTACAACTCAGTATTGCAGGAAAATTATTATTTTTTTTAAAGATTTTATTTATTTATTTGACAGAGGGAGACACAGCGAGAGAGGGAACACAAGCAGAGGGGGTGGGAGAGGGAGAAGCAGGCTTCCCGTGGAGCAGGGAGCCTGATGGGGGCTCGATCCCAGGACCCCGGGATCATGACCCGAGCCGAAGGCAGACGCTTAATGACTGAGCCACCCAGACGCCCCAGGAAATTTATTTTTATTAGTAGTAATAATATTGCTGCTAGAAGTCAAATAATATCTGTGGATCTCTTGTCTCTGGTACTACCTCTATTATAATACCTTTTTTGTCAATTCCAACATATTTGATTTTATATTATTTCATTTTGTTTTTAGTTTGTTGGCCAATTTCTTTTATTTACAAAGTGGGGATTAAAAACAAGCAGGCTTTCTATGGGGTTCATTTCAAAATGGGGAAGGGCAGATTGGCTAGCCAGAAATTGAGAGTAAGAGTTTGAAAACCAAAAAGAGGTAAATTAAGTATGAAAAGGGGAATGATTAAATGTGGAACCATCCATTTCTTTATTTTTCTGGATCAAGATTTCAGAGGACTTGGGGTTCTCTGAACTCACATGCAAGTAGCTCTTGATTGAACCTCATGTAAATTTCTCTAAATTTTTCTAAGACTTATACTCTTAGTTTTGGTAATTTTTCCACTTTTTAAAAAAAGATTTTATTTATTTGAGAGAGAGAGAAAGAGAGCACTGAGCTAGGAGGAGAAGGAGAAGCAGGCTCCCTGCTGAGCAGGGAGTCCAATGTGGGGCTCGATCCCAGGACTCTGGGATCATGACCTGAGCCCAAGGCAGACGCCCAACTGCCTGAGCCACCCAGGTGCCCCAATTTTTACACTTTTTTAAAAAAATAAGTATTTCAAACATATTACAACAGTAGAGAGAATAGTATTAGGAGCTTTCAAATGAACAGCACTCAGCTTCAACAGTTAGTAACTCACTACTGTTCTTTTTTTCTTCTGTACCGCTGCTTATTCCCTGTCCCCCCATTATATCGAAGCAAATCCCAAATAGCATATAATTTCATCTGAAAATATTTCAGTAAGACTCTCTAAACTATAAAGGACTTTTTTATTATTGTTAAAAGCCAACTATATTACCATTACGTTTTATGAAAATTGAAGTAAATTTGTTTAGGACTTACCTTTCACTCTGTTTTAGAGACTCACCAGATGAATAAATAAAAGATTCATCATAATATCTTTATTTTATTTTAGAAGTAGATTATTTGACTAAAATAATGTATTGATGTTCCATCTGAATAACAATTTATCCTTCAAATTAGAATACTTTTGAGAGTGAAAAGGGGCTCTATTAACAATTATGCTAGGAGAGCAGTGGAAATCTAGGACTGTCCTACATGAACTGGGATATATATGGTCCCCTGTTTCAAGGGAATATTTGCTGGTTGGATAGCTACTATAATTTTTCTCAACAAACTTTGAATAACCCAGATGAGTCAAGTTGTAGCTAAGAGCACGGTGAACTTACCATAGGATTTTTAAGTCTAAAATTTTTATAGTGCCTGTAGATTTCAGGTTGGTTCTCTCTCTTTTTTTTTTTTTTGAGAGAGAGAGTAAGAGTGAGGGTGCAAGCATATGTGCACAAGCTGGGGGGTTAGGGAAGGGTAGAGGGAGAGGGAAAGGGAGAGAGAGAATCCCAAGCAGGCTCCACACCCGGCTCAGAGCCCAGCATGGGGCTAGACCTCAGAACCCTGAGATCATGACCTGAGCCGAAATCAAGAGTTGGACGCTTAACCAACTGAGCTACCCAGGTGCCCCCCGCTTTTAAAGTTTATTTATTTATTTAAATAATCTCAACATGGGGCTTGAACTCACGACCCCAAGATCAAAAGTCGCTGGCTCCTCTGACTGAGACAGCCAGGAGCCCCTCACCATAAAGCTAGAAGTAGAACCACCAGGCATAAATCACAAATTAAAGGGCGCCTGGGTGGCTCAGTTGGTTAAGCGACTGCCTTCGGCTCAGGTCATGATCCTGGAGTCCCGGGATCGAGTCCCACGTCGGGCTCCCTGCTCAGCAGGGAGTCTGCCTCTCTCTGACCCTCCCCCCTCTCATGCTCTCTAGCTCATTCTCTCTCTCAAATAAATAAATAAAATCTTTAAAAAAAAAATCACAAATTAAAATGAACCCTTCTGGGGCACCTGAGTGGCTCAGTCGTTAGGTATCTGCCTTCAGCTCAGGTCATGATCCCAGGGTCCTGGGATCAAGCCCCACATCGGACTCCCTGCTCAGTGGGAAGCCTGCTTCTCCCTCTCCCACTCCCCCTGCTTGTGTTCCTTCTCTCGCTTTGTCTCTCTCTGTCAAATGAATAAATAAAATCTTTAAAAAAAATAAAATGTATAATTTATAGGCTTGTCGATGTTAGATCATAGATAATCTAAAGTAGACTACATTATAAAGTAAGTAAATGAGGTGATGACCAATTTTAAAAGGTCAAAAAGATTTTTTCTGTTAAAGTTGGTAGTTCACCATAATATTACCTGAACTTTATATCAAGCATAAACTAGTTTTTAGCATTTCCAGATTAGAAAACACACTAGACCTTCCTTATCTGTTCTCTTCTAGTTTATGCTGTGTTACTGTAGCAAGTAATTCTCAGGAACAGCTCCATTCAATTAGTAGTGTGCTTGTTATCAGTAATATTTTAAGCAACTACCTTTTTTTTTTTTAAGATTTTATTTATTTATTTGACAGAGGCAGCAAGAGCACAAGTAAGGGGAGCGGCAGGCAGAGGGAGAGGGAGAAGCAGAACTCCCCGCTGAGCAGGGAGCCTGAGGTGGGGCTCGATTCCAGGACCCTGAGATCATGACCTGAGCCAAAGGCAGATGATTAACCGACTGAGCCACCCAGGCGCCCCCGCAACTACCTTTTAATAATAAAGTATACAACTATGATTCCCCTGATCAGGAGCCAAAGTCAGCCTTCTAAAACACAGTTCCATTATGTCAGTTCCATGGAAAAATAAGTGCCCTTTAGTGTTGTGATTTCTTTCCCTTCATTTTAACCACAGTTTCATTTTTTTTTTTTAAAGATTTTATTTATTTATTTGAGACAGAGAGAATGAGAGAGAGAGAGCACATGAGAGGGGGGAGGGTCAGAGGGAGAAGCAGGCTCCCTGCCGAGCAGGGAGCCCGATGCGGGACTCGATCCAGGGACTCCAGGATCATGACCTGAGCCAAAAGCAGTCGCTTAACCAACTGAGCCACCCAGGCACCCCACAGTTTCATTTTTAACACCTTTTCCATAGATAAAAGATACTCATATCATCATATCATCTAGTCCCTGGTCTTTTAGTTTATTTTCTGAATCAGCTTCAAGTCTTTCATGTTTATATGTAAAACATTATAATTCATACATACACACATTCAGATACATCTTTTAAATAACTTTAACTGTGGCCTTTTTAAAAATTAGAATCTATCATCAATAACATACAGTGTCTTAGATTTCTTTCCCCACATAGTTCTGGTACTGTGGATATGGAATCATAGTGATATATTAGGTTTAATTTGTTACATAGAAGAAATGGGTTCATGGTTCTCTATACGTTTAAGTGTTTTAAATTACTTTTTCTCTCCTTCTAGCTGTTCCCTTTCCTCCAACCCAACGGCTTACTTTGAAGGAAGTATTTGAGAATGGGAAACCTAAAATTGATGTTTTGAAAAACCATTTGGTGAAGGAAGGGCGACTGGAAGAGGAAGTAGCCTTAAAGATAATCAATGATGGGGCTGCCATCCTGAGACAAGAGAAGACTATGATAGAAGTAGATGCACCAATCACAGGTATGAGAAGTAATTGCACAGTGGTGCTTAGATTTGAGCTAATTTGAAAAATGATTACAAATAACCAACTAAGATATGTGATAATTTTTCCAGGAATTATGAGATAGTCTTGGATTATTCAGTATATTTGTTGTTCATCAAAGAAATACAATTTAAAATACCTAATATTTACAGTAGGACTATTCAGTATTGATTGACCACAGTTATAGAACATTCCAGTCAAAAGCTAATGTGATTTAAGTTAAAAGTTAAACTGTGATCTTATTGGTGTACTGCCCTTTCTCTTTAAGACATATTTTTCATCTCACCATGTGTCCTTTTTTCCCTAGTGTGTGGTGACATTCATGGACAGTTCTTTGACCTGATGAAGTTGTTTGAAGTTGGAGGATCACCTAGTAACACACGCTACCTCTTTCTGGGTGACTATGTGGACAGAGGCTATTTCAGTATAGAGGTAAAAATTAAACTGGATACATTGGAACGATCATATTGTCTTTTTTTAGAAATTTGCTTTCCATTCTTCAGCAGAAGAAATTAAAATGAGAACACTGGCAGAATTTGTAAACTTCATTACTTTCAGTATTAAAGTGTTAGAGAAATGTTTTCATTTGTATAAGAAAGATCTATTCCTTCTTGTAGCTTCTATATGTAGTAGACATATAGAAAGCTATATTAACCCAGCTTTGCAAATAAGTTAAATGCTTACCAACCTTTCCTCTGAAGATAATGTATAGGCTGTGTGTAAATTACATAAATTGCTATTCACCCTAAACAGGGTTTGAATTAGCAGATCTTCATTATAAAACCATAAGTTGCTGGGCTACAATTTGCTTTTAGATTAACTTCCAATGCTAAATAAGCAGGCATTTAGCTTATTGTAGGAATAATTTTTTATATTATTGCACATAGTAAGCAGTTAACAAATGTTCATTAAAGAAAAAAATGATTAAAGTTAATGAATTTAATGGAAACTCACAATTAAATATATTTTAAAAATTGAATGATGAGAAAAAATGATTATAATTAAAACAAAGTAGGGGCACCTGGGTGGCTCTGTTGGTTAAGCATCCCAAATCTTGATTTCGGCTCAGGTCATGATCTCAGGGTTGTGAGGTCAAGCCCCATGTTGGGCTCCATACTGGGTATAGAGCCTGCTTGGGATTCTCTCTCTCCCTCTCCCTTTTCTCCTCCCACTGCTCTCTCTCTCAAATAAATAAATAAAATCTTTAAAAAAAGAATTAAAGTATAAACTACTGTGTATAAAAGATAAAACTATTTTAGAACCTAATGCAAAGACTTGAGTACAGTGGAACCAAAGCACGTTCATATTTAATGTCCATTGATTTAGCTACACATGCTTGGCAAATAAAAGAGAAGTAACTTTTGAATAGTGCAGGTAATTAAATTTATAATGTGCCCAGAATAAGCATGAGATGAGAAATTGAGTCTGCATGATGTTCTTGTAGTCTTTAGTTCTGGTTCTCCCTCATAGTGTGATAGTCTCACTGTACTTAGTGTGTTTCTGGTGGTTAAAGGTTTATTGTTTGTGCAGCATCACTCCTAGATCCAAGTTAGCTATCTTACCTAGTGCTCATTCAAAGAAGCAGCAGTTGTTCTATAGCTGCAGAAAAATATACAAGAGAAATGGGTTGTCCTCTTTAGTTAGATGGGTTGTCTAAATTCATGGATCAGAAAAGTTCAGTGTTACCTGCCAGTGCCTCAAATTAATTTAGTGTCATCTATGAGGACAAAACTTAGTGGTAGAAGCTAAGAAAATAATCACGTTTCCCTGCTGCTCAGTAAATTTCCAAGGTCTCTAAGTAGGTACTGGGATGGGTGGAGATGATACATGCAGACTGTATCATTGAAATGTTTCTCTATTCCAAGTAACCTAAGTGTCCATCAATAGATGAATGGATAAAGAAAGTGTGGTCTGTATACATATATACTGGATATAATAGAATATTACTCTGACATAAAAGAGAATGAAATGTGGCCCTTTGCAATAACATGGATGGACCTAGAGGATATTATGCTAAGTGAAATAAGACAAAGATAAATACTATATGATTTCACTTATATGTGGAATCTACAAAACAAAACAAATGAACAAACAAAACAGAAGTGGACTTAAAAACACAGAGAACAACCCGGTGGTTGCCAGAGGGGGCAGGATGTAGGGAGTTGGGTAAAATAGGTAGAGAGGATTAAGAGGTACAGAGTTCCAGTTTTAAGATAAATAAGTCACAGGGATGAAATGTACATCACAGAAAATATAGTCAATAGTACTGTAATAACTTTGTAGGTGACAGGTAATAACTACATTTATCGTGGTGAGCATTGCATATTGTATAGAATTGTTGAATCACTATGTTGTACACCAGAAACTAATATAATATTGTATATCAACTATAGTTCAATAAATAAAATAAAAAGGGAAGCAAACATAGCCTAAAAAAGAAAAGCTTCCTAATTCCTGTTCACATCATGTTTCAGTAGCCAGTCAAATGTATGGATGTTTGAAAGACACATTGAATATTTACTTTTTTGTGTATTTTTTAGCATGAAGACGTTTTAGAGGATGAAGAAAATACAGAACTTACTGAATTTTTAATTTGACATTATATTTAATGAAACAACTTCTTAAAAAGATAATATTGTACCAAATCATCTTCGGATTGTTAACTCATACATTTACAGATAGTTTCAATGCATCAGTATATTCAATAAAGCACACACTGAAAAAATCCATGATTTTTGTACACATATACTATATTCAGAATATTTTCTGTTAATGTATTTTTTCCTTACTCATCAACAAATGTTTCCTGATTGCCGACTTTATGGTAGGCTCTGAGGATAAAATAATGAATAAGATTCATGCTTTCTATTTTTTGTTTTCTTTTTAAGATTCATGCTTTCAGGGCATCTGGGTGGCTCAGTCAGTTAAGCGTCCGACTCTTGATTTCCGCTCAGGTCATGGTCTCAGGGTCATGAGATCAAGCCCTGAGTGGCTCCATGCTCAGTGGGGAGTATGTTTGGGATTCTGTCTTTCCCTCTGCCCCTCCATCCCCTGCACTCCCCTCCATGCTCACATACTCTCTCTCTAAAATAAATAATGAATAAATCTTTAAAAGAAGATTTATGCTTTCTGTAGGAGCTGACAGTCTATTAGAAAAGATGCACTTATGAACAGATCTTTCAGTATAGTACAAAAGTGTTGACTTAATTTTCTGCATTATTCTTCATATTAGGACCTAGCATAGTGCCTGACACATAGGGGACACTCAAAATCAGTATTTGTCGAATGAGTGGATGTTAATAAATCATAGTTTATATTTGGCTTTATCTTCTTATTTGATGTTTCACTAACTTAAAGGGTTTTTCTGGAATAGCTTAAGAGATAAATGGATCAAAACTTTAAAGTGACAATGCTGTTTTATACCAATTTTAAACTAAACATCAGGGTATATGTAGTCTCAGTTGGAAGTCACTTATAAACTACTAAGTTTATAAACTTCTGTAGGCAACAGCTTAGTCCAACATGATACAAGTATATACTTGAGCAATTTTTTTATCAGTGTCCTTGATAAGCATGAGTATGTTTTTGTCAAATGAATGAAAATAGGTAATAGAGTCCTTATTACATTTTGTTGTTGTAAATAGTTCATTTTTGTAGAAAAATTGGGAAATGTAGAATCTAAGAAAACAAAAACCTTTATAAGTCAGATATAATCAGTGTTAACATCTTGTATTTTCTTTTTTTTTTTTTTAAGATTTTTAATTTTTTTAAAGTAATCTCTACACCCAAGGTGGGGCTCGAACACAACCCTGAGACCAAGAGTTGCATGCTCCACTGACTAAGCCAGCCAGGCGCCCCAACATCTTGTATTTTCTTGCACTTTTTTCTTCTTTTACATTTGCATATATCTTTTTTAAAGAAAATTGAAATCATTTTGTACCTTTCCTTTTTGTAGTCTTTTCCCCCCCACTCAGCATTGTATTGAAAGCACTTTTCTCTGTTACAAAAATTTCTCCAAAATTGTGGTTAATGGTAAAAATACCATAATTTACTTCACCGTTCTCCTGTTGTTGGATAATTAGGTTTGTAGCAGGTACTGCTTGTTGTCCATCTTTTCTCTCCTTCCTTCCTATCAAAATCCCTATTTTGTTCAGATAAATGAGATTGGGGGTTCAGAGAGAACCTTTGATTTCAGGAAGGGAGGCCCTTAACCCAGCCTCAGGTAATGAATTCTCATTGGTCTGAGCTTTTTTGATGTGAATGTGCATGCACACACATGCACTTTGGAACATTTGTTTCCAGATGAAAAGACTTTTGCAAGGTGAAAGCTTTTGAGCCCCTATTTCACTATGTCATTTCAAATGTGGGTGTGTGTACTGTAGCAGCCATTTTGTGACCATGAGGAAGTGCTAAGGATGAAAAGCAAACCTCCTGTGAATTACAGATCAAAGAGGCAGAGAGGACATTGTTTCTTGGTGACAATACTGAGCTGTTACACTAAACCTGGACATCTTACCTCCAGACTTCTTGTTTCTTCATAAGATACTTAAAAGGTCTTTAGGGCTTAAGCAATAGTTAATGGGATATTTATCACTTGTATCACAAGTGGTCCTTTTCTAGTTATTTCCATTCTGCATATTGCTGCAATTAATATCTTTTTGAATACATTTTTAATAGCATTTCTAATATTTCCTTAGGTCAGATTCTTATAAGTAAAAGAAGTGGATGAGAGACTGAATATTTTAAAGACTTTTGATACATTTGGCCTAGTTTTTACAGAACCTTATTTCACTTTATTTTCTTTCTATATTTAATAACTTCTCTTTCCTTGAGCCTATATGAGAAAATCAAGACATGCTGATTTTTTTCATGCCCAGAGCAAGCATTGATCTTTCCTGAAGCAATGTGGGCTTTGATTAGTACACCAGGGACTGATCCAGATGTCACTGATAAAACACAATAGTAAAGTTTCACTTATTCCTGAGCTTTTTGATGTTCCTTCTTCGTTTGTATATATTGTAAACTACTTGCTCTGAGGTCGGGGAAGCTAAATTTAGTTTCTTTTAATTGATTTTACAGTAAGAGAAAGGGTTAAAGGGAACCTTTTCATCATAGGATATGTTATACTACATGTACAGGTGTCACCAAAGAGAAAATGTTATCAGATGTCTAGGGATTATAGATGTTATCCGATGATCAATTGTTGATGTGTTGACATGTTGACAACTAATGAATAATTGTTGACATACAGAAAGGATTGTTGAAGTGGAGTACAAATTCTGTTCACAGAAATAAGTGAGTTTTGAGTGTCTGAACAGATCTGATAATCATGAGCCTGTAATTGAATTGTACAGATAATTGTGCAATTGCATCCTGATATATAAGGAAATAAAATTTGAGATTAGAGGCCAAGAAGTATATCAACCAAATTA